GTCAATCATCCTCCTCATATCCGCCTCGCTCAGCGTCGAATTCACCTCGCCGCACACGGCCCGCAAACTCTCGAGCGTAACCCGCCCCGTGCCGCGGGGGTCAAACATCTTCCACGCGTCCTCGGCCTCCTCCTGCGGGTCGCGACGCATCAGCAGCCACGCCGCGATGGCGGAGAAGTGCTCCTGCGGCATGCGCAAGCGGGACGGGCTGCAGGGGCCCCGCGAGGGGTCGTGGTCGTGCGGCGGGACGCCGTGGGCGAGGAGGAGGGCGTAGGTCTCTGTGCGGGCCAAGTCGAAGCCGATGGCGCGGAGGGCAAAGGGCCACTCGCGCGCGTTGAGGGAGCCGAGGCCTTGTTGATCGACGACTTCCCACTGGTGAGGGGTGTCAGCGATGTTCACGCGTAGGATGAGGAGGGAGGGAGAAAACGGAGGTACGCGGATACATGATTCGACTCAGTGGACTCTCGGATTATATACGAGAGCATGATGCAGTAGTGCTAGATAATGCAAGGACTTACAGCTTCTCTGATGTTTTGTTGCCAGTCGGAGGGTAGGGCGGCCAGGTCGCGACGACCTTGCGCCATGTCGAACATTGCCGATGGGGTAGACATCGCGTCGTTTGTATGTGTAATATGTTTCTTTCTCCCCTTCTCCTTGGAACCGGTTTCGGTGCCTCGGATATCTCAGATGTAGGTGAGTCTCGAGACTTCCTTGCAGCGGCTGCTAGCTTCACGAGGTAAGGCAGGCGCAAAGAAAACGAGAGTAAGTGCCAATGATGAAAACAAAAAGCGTGGAATAGCAAAGGGGTATCAGAAATATGGAACTTGAAGGCGAGAACTGGGGGAGGATGTCACTATGAGTTCTTCATGTGAGAGATCTCATGCTAAGCGGGTGGTGGGGCTCGGCTTTTTGAACGAGAGCATTCAGTGAGTAAGATGTCGCGTCTGCAGCTCAGTTTCCTCTCATCGCGAATTCGACCGCGATGAAAAAAGGTACGTACACGAGCCATGGAGAAGGTTCGGTGGGGTCATATACACCAGATCACGTGATATTCTCGACGTCCTGAGGACTGAGACGTCCAACAAAATGGGTTATGCACTGTTGTTTGATCTTTCTCGATGGACCAAAGATGCATTGTGGATTCAAGTCACTTTGAAAGTGATAGATCGCATTATTCCAGTGATGTGCTACCGTCTCAGGCAGTGCCATTATAAGTGATTGAAGCTGAAGCTCAGCCGAAGATACTCCGCAAACAGATCCAGTCTACGTAGGGCCAATCAATTACATCCTCTCATCACCACCCCAGAGGCATTGTCCGTCTCCCGGGTCTCTTCGATTACATTGTGCATTGCATCGCTCTTTGACGTTCAAGGTGATTGTATTTCGCCTGTCAAGGCCACACAATGAGGCCAACATTATTCCGTCCGTTTCAGTCGACTCTTCGAGTCCTGGGCCATGAAAACCCATTGGTACAACTCACGCTTCTCTCTTGCTGTTACTCTTGCTCACTCTCACGCACATGCGTCACTTCATACCTGAGACCGACTAATATGGCCTACAGGGTCTGCCGAAATCCGGCACACCGCCCAACTGGCCCAGGAAGCCCGTGAAGAGGAAGATTACTGGCGTGGAGAAAATCATTGCTGTTTCTTCCGCCAAGGGTGGCGTTGGCAAGAGCACAGTCGCAGGTAGGTTGCGCAGCTCGGACTGAAGCTTGTATGCAAAGAGGCAAAGTAATAATCAATATTCATAGCAAACCTGTCATTGGCTTTTGCACGACTAGGCTACAGGGCTGGTATCCTGGACACCGATATCTTTGGCCCGTCTATTCCGACACTCTTCAACCTCTCCGGAGAGCCCAGGCTCTCAGAAAGTAAGGACTCGGAGTTCTTCGACCATCCCAGCTCGCCAACTGACAATGTCACTAGACAACCAGTTAATCCCAATGACTAATTACGGCGTCAAAACCATGTCCATGGGCTATCTCGTACCAGAGGATGACGCCGTGGTATGGCGAGGCCCCATGGTGATGAAGGCCATTCAGCAGCTACTTCACGAAGTCGACTGGGGTGGATTGGATGTTCTCGTGCTCGACCTGCCTCCAGGCACGGGCGATACGCAGCTCACCATCACACAGCAGATCATACTTGATGGTAAGTCATGTTTGAACGTCGCAACACTAGGCACATGAATGCCGGCCATCGCTTACAATAGCCAGGGTCCATTATTGTCACCACACCCCATACACTCGCAGTCAAAGACGCGGTCAAGGGCGTCAACATGTTCAACAAGGTCAATACCAACATTTTGGGCTTGGTGCAAAACATGTCACTCTTCAACTGTCCACACTGTAACGGCGACACACACGTTTTTGGGTCTAACGAGAGAGTCGAGCGCATGTGCAGAGAGCACAAGATCGACTTTTTAGGCGACATCCCCCTGCACCCATCCATCGGCGATGATGCGGATCTGGGCAAGCCCACCGTCGTATCGGAGCCGTCGAGTGCCAGGGCGGAAATCTTTCTCAAGATTGCCAAGGATATTGCCCCGAAAATTGACCTCCGCTCACCGTAGCTCGCCACTGATATGTGACGGCCAGTAAGCGACGTATTCTGAGGACGAAATGAGAGTGTAGGATATCCTGTATAGCCAGATGTTTAGTCAAGGTGGCCAAGAAGCTGGGGAAGTTGGGCATCTCATGTATTTGTAACAAGGGACCCCCCCGCGCTTGATGCGCAGAGTCCAGATGAGATCATAATCCCATGGTCGCCTGGAGTGAGTAAAACACATGTGTACAAACCGTTAGCCTATGTAACGCGGAAACAAGACACTTTACCATGAAGAGATTGAGAGTGCCAAATCACCCATGAACGCCAATGCCTTGAACCTCCTTCCCTCAAGATCCTCCCGCATCCCTATGCCCTAGCAGCAGTTAGTCGAGCTCATCGTTTTGTTGATAAACGTGTCGACTGCGAGCAGTGTCTTTCCGCATAGCTTGGCCAGAGCCTGTGAAACCAACTGTGATTGTGTTAGCATCATCCTCAGTATTGATTCAGCGCGAACAACGTACCTCGGCCGCCAACGCCGTCAGGTGTGCGGAACATGCTGTCCTTCTTCTGCTTTCCAAACTTGGACTTTGAGTTGAACTCTTGCCACTTGGATTTGCCCTTTTCCAATTCTTTCGTAGCTTTGATCTTCTTGGCTTTAGGGGGCTTTGCGGCGCCATCGGCAGCATTCTTTTCTGCTTCAATCTTGGCTTGTTGCTCAGGGTACAAGCTGGCTGCTGCGGATGTAACGACACCATTCGAGGGGCCCGGCGGACGTGCGGTCTGTCGTGCGGTGCTAGATGCGGGAGCTGGTGCTCCGTCAGCCTTGCGTTTGTTGGACATGGGGCGGATGTCCTTGGCTCGCAGCGTTTCCGTGTTGTCATAGCTCTTGAACTTGACAATGTAGACGGGATCTGTTGAAGAGCCGGTGATGGATGTGATTCGGGCAGGATAGAAGCCTCTGTCGCCCGATGCCCATTTCGCCATGACAGTGTCATTCACCGAGTACGTGACGGGTGGTTCCTCCTTCTCTTCGGGGGCGGGTGCAGCCTTCTTGAAAGCTGGGTGGTTTTCTTTGGACCACTTCTCGGGCTCCGGCGGGCTGGGCGCTTTTTGAGGAATGGGCTTGGGCGCCTGCTTCGGCTGCAGCTCAGCAAGAGACTCGTTTAGGAGGGAAATCATGTCATTCAACTCCGCCTGAAGATTCTTGAGTTCGGCATTTTCGGGATCATCTTTGAGGCCGGCGAGAACAACATCGAGCTGTGAGTGGCAAGTTAGCGAAGAACAGATATGAGGTCTGAAGGTCGAGAAATTGCGTACCTGCTCTTGATACTGTTGGCGGTCCTCCTCCAAAGCTGCAATTTGGCCCGACATGATGGCGGCTACAGAAACGGTCCGTCGCGGGTTGGAGGTCTTGAACGGGTGGCAGGCGTCGGTTGTTGGGTTTATTCAATGTACAGTCGGACCTGACTGAAGATATTTCAGTGTTGAATCGCTGTGATGTTACGGATGTAGGTAGAATGAAGCATGCGCCTGGTTGGTCTGTGACGAACTGGGAATGGCGTCCATTCGCGGTAAGAAGCTTATCCGGCAGAGTCACGTGGAGATAATGGTGAAGGCTAGATGAACCAACTGCATCGTCATTCCTGGTATTGGCCAATCACAGAGTGCCTGATTCGTGCAGCCACCCCAGACTCGAATGTGGGATTTTTTAGGAATCGTGGAATGCAGGGGTGGGAAGCGGTTGAAGTCGGGTCCAGGCGCACCTAAAAGCAGCACGCACAGGTGCTGACGATGGACGTTAGCGGGCGTGGCATGCCGAGAATGGTCCTGAATGGCGCCGGAGCCAGCAGTGGAGAGGGAATCGTGGGTGCCTCCCATGGTCTCGGGTACCTTGTCTAAGGTAATTTAGCCAAAGGGTACCTTAGACACATGGACGGGAACTTCGACCTGGCCCTTTTCCCTCTTCTTCACTCTCTTTCCCATTTTACACTACTTATTTCTCCTCGCAGCTTGGAGTGAACAGCGCAGCATCTTTCAATCTTTCCTCTCTAGAACGCAGATACCCGAACTCCCACTATACCTCGACTACGATACGACTCCCCTCCAGTTGTCATCCCTTTTACTGCGCAATTCCTCGCCGCAATCGGCCCCCAATTGGGCGCACCTTGTCCAGCCCGCGCTCTCCCAAAGTTCCAGTGCTCTCCCTCCCTGTAGTTTTCGACGCATTACCTCATTGAAACAGCAACGCGGGCAGCCACCACCGCAACCTGTCGGTCCTCCGAACGCCCACGCAACGTACCGCACCGCACCCGCGCATCAGAGAACAAGCCTTGCTACCACCCCCAAAGAACCTGTCGACACCCATGACATTGTTATACCTTGGCTGCAACGGCACATCATAGTACCTATTCGTCAAGTACCGGTATCCCCCAGGGGGTCAAATAAGCAACCATGGTTCGAGACAGAGACAGAGACGGCGATGAATCTTCGGCGCCCAGCCAATCAAGACGCCCTCCTCTCAATCATCAGGAGAGCGATTCGACAAACAGCGACCAGGCTCACCGAGACCACCATCATCAGCACCGCTCGAAATCCCAAAAGCACGTTGTCGGCGGCGGTCGCCTGCATGCACGCGTTCCTTCCTCCAAAGCACTACACAAACACCATGGCTCGACGGCCTCAAAACTGAACAATCACCGCCGACAAGCATCCCCTTCGCCCGATCGAAATCGCGCCTCCGCAGCTGGCCATCGCCGAGTCCAATCTGAAGCGAAACTCTCCCGCGACAGCTCCTCCGCGAACCTCAGCAAAACCGCCTCCGCGACGAGCTTACGGAGGAACAAATCCCACGGCGAAGTCAACAAGCCCGCAAAGATCAAGTCGGTGGAGAAACTCAAGCGAACGAGCTCGAATCCGGCCGTGAATAAGGTCAAGTTGCAAAAGTCACAGGTACATTTCGACTTGGGGAACGACGGCCAAGACGACGAATGGGTCGACGCCAGCACATCCGCTTCACCATACCTATCAAGACGAGGATCGCTCGCCAGCACACAAGCCTCTGCGAAGCCAGACGACGGCAGCAGCAGCGCGAATAACTCTGCCAGCAACTCTGCCAGCAACTCTGCCAGCAACTCTGCCAGCAACTCTGCCGGCAACTCTGCGAACAACTCCAGAGCAGAAACTCCCGCAGCGCAATCATCACCCCTGGTCTCAGCGACACCCGACCGCGAGACCGTACAGCACAAGGCCTACCTAACCTCGAGATTACTTCAACGCACCCCTTCCCACGGCGCACCTCCCAAGATGACGGCAGACACAGTATCCGTCTCACGGCGGGGCCACTCCTCATCCCCCGACTCCATCGGCCGCGGCTCGACCCTAGGCGACTCGCACAACGTCAGCACTTTACCGGGCAGCGCCGGCGACGAGCTTATTTCGAGATTCGTCAACGCAGGAAGCTCCGGTGCGGCGCGCGAAGGATCTTTCTACCAGCTCCCAACGCCTGGGCCGGCGAGCTTACGGTCTGAGGAGAACCCTTCTCGAGGGCGACCGCAGTCCTCGGGGTCCGGACGCCAAGGAAGAAACCGCGATCTGCCATTATCAGACGACGAAGACGGCGACAGTGCTCTAGAGACTCGCAAAACCCGCGATACCACTGACGGTACAGCGCTCGCGCCACGGTCGGGAAGGCGATTCGCCCCGCCCGCCGAAAAGTCGCGAACGCAGCAGAAGCTCAATCTTCAGCGCGCCAGCTCCGTCATTGAGCCGGGCCAGGCAGTAGGAGGAGGCGTGGGCGCAGTGGGCGCGAGCCCCCTGGTCGGCATTGGCGGGCCGGGCTACGACGGCGGCGCGAGCCGCGACCCACGCGTCGCGAAGCAGCTGGAACGGACAGGGATGGAGTACCTCAGCGTCCGCCGCTTTCAGAACCCCGTGGTGCGTTCGCTGGACCGCCTCGCGCAGGTGAACCGCGCCAACAAGACGCAGCGGATACCGCGCAACGGGACCGCCAACGGCAACGGCAAGGCCGCGTCGGTACGGGGGGGCGTTACGCCGGGAGGGCAACATATGCGTAACTCGAGCCTGAACGAAGCGGCTCTGGCTGCGGCGTCGGGCGGCACCGGCACCAGCACCGGCTCCACCCGTAGACCCGTCACCCCGCGCGCTTATTCCATCCGGACCAACGGGGCTGGATCGAGCTACGAGGCCGACGGGGACGACCATCAGAGCAGTCGCGCCCTTCACGAGGGAAACGGCGTCCAGGGCCTCAGCGGGTCGAGTCTTGTGGGTGGAGAGGAAGACGAGGGTATCACGGCGATCCTCCGCAACCTGTGGGAGAAGAATCCGGACCTCAGTGCCAGCCAGGAGTAGGTTGACCAGGCTGGCTACGTGGATCTGGACATCATTCCGTTTGATTCATGAACTCTAAGGAGATGAACTGGTCATACACCCAACGTTGACAAGCAAGCCGGGTCACGACTAGGAGCGAAGCGAAGGGAGGATGCGTGTTTTGACAACGGATAAGGCGTACTACAAATGAGGTCTTCAACGGGCCTGGGCAGGACATGGACGGGAGGATTACAGTGATGGGATGGCCCCGCCCGGGTTGGGTGATTCTTTTGAAAAAAGCATCAGGTGGCTGGCTGAATGCCAATCCAGCCTCTGATATCCAGGGTTTTGGTTCGGCACTTCTTTGCAGATAAGAAAGGGCAGGCGAAATGGCAAATGGCGGTATACACAAAGAAAGACTTTAATAATTCCAGCACGCTTTTGATTTTCCAGAGACGATCAAAATGTTCCCCTTGGGGATTTATCAAGTGCTCAGATTGAACTCTCGGAAGGGTATTTAATTCACATGCATCCTTCAACGGCCGTACATGTTTAGCTTGTACCCCAGACATGAACGTTGAGTTGGCCAAAGAGCCACATGGATATGATGAAAGATGTCACATACATACACGCACACACACCTCAACTGGTGAGCTCGGTGAGACCAAGTGGACCAAGGAGACTGGCTCTGCACACCTCAGCCTCTCTGCTGGGACTCACTCTACAGGTGAGCTTAGATAAACATCTGCCTCTAATGGTTGATCCGCTCAGACCAGAATCTCACCAAAGGCATGCCACTGGCTCACACAGACAATGTTGAGGAACACACAAACACCGTCATTGGTACTCAACCCCCCACCCGCTCTCAAAAAAACAGAAAAAAGTTTCACATGCGCAGGCACACACAAACATGCAGATTCACCAAGAGACACGCAGACATGGCTGAATTCTTCTTTATTTGATCCCCTAAAAAGCGTGGGGGGTCATACCCCCGTCAATGCCCTTTCAACGGCCGGGCGGGGGCTATGTACGTTTGTATGCCTCTCTCTCGTCTCGTTTCCTTGTCCAAACCATTGATATAAACCCAAAACGCAATACTATTTACCTCCAAGAAAACCCAACTTGCAATAACACCAAGAGCGCCAAGTCATTGAGAATGACTAATCAGAATGCGATGCCCAATTGGCTCAGAGGGGAGGCTATGCTCTACTACACTCCAGCCACAAGAAATATTCGAGACGACTGAAACCTCGTGGGCGCCGGCGATTGAATGAGACTCTCGTTCGTGTCGTTCGTGCTATTCGTATTCCGTCTATTTGGTGATGAAGCCAAGGTAGTCGGCAACGATGAGTGTTACCATTCTGTTGGAAACGCACTATTGTTAGCACACAAACAAGGTACCTAAAACACGGGCACACGGGGTTGAGATGGTCCACTTACGCATGGGGAGCAATGCGGACGTAGTAGGTACCGAAACCGCGGTAGAAGCGCATAACGCCCTCCTGCTTAGCGACCTTGGCAAAGCAGTCGGCCATTGACTTGTACGGAAGCTTGCCATCGGGTCCCTTGGACTGCTTCTGTAGGCGGGTCTTGACGAAGTCGAAGGGCAAAGAGAAGAAACTGGCGAAGAATCCGGCAATGGCGCTGGCGGTGAGAGTCTGAACTTGAGAGGACAGCTGCGTATTCTGCTTGAGCTGCACCTTGGCCTCGCTGAAGAAGGCGAGCTGACCAAAGTTGAGAGCCATAGCACGGACGACCGTGGGGGCGGCACCGGCCCAGAGAGCGGCAACACCTTCAGACTTTGCAATGCTTGAGAGAGCGTCGATGACACTCTTGTAGTTCTTGCGCTCAGCAAGGGGCTTCAGTCCGTCACTCTGCATGCGGATGAGGGCAAGGTCGGCAGGATTTCCAATCATGGCGGCAAGACCTCCGGCTGCGAGGCCTGCGGTGGCACGTTCCTTGAAGCCAATAGCGTTCCCCTGCTCTTTGGCGCGTTGGCCGAGCTTGCCCATAAAGGTGTCAAAGAAGCCCAAGCGGGCCGTTGTGTAGACAGCTTGGCGCAGGAGGCCGGCCGACAGACCGGTGTAGAGGTCGAGGGCCTTTCCGCTAGCAAGAATTTCCCGGGTGACTGACAATGGTGTAGGCTTGGGTCCTCCGGCAACACCCTCTCCAGCGAGCTGGATGCGGACCTTGATCATGTCGACGGGCTGAATAACAGAGGTGGCTACCATGCCGCTGATACCGCCGTTGATGAAGGGCAACGCTGCCCTCATGACAGGAGTGTGGAGGAAGTCATTGGCGACAGCGGCACCGTCTCCCTTCAGAACTTCTGAGGTGCGAGTTCGTGCGGCCTCAGCTGCCTGCTTGATGGATGAAGAGCTCATGATGGTGGGTGTGTAAGTAGGACTGAATCACAGTATGGTCAAGTATCCAACTCGGTACAAGTTGAAGAGGTCGTCGAGAATAATAGCTGCTTCGGGTAGACAGTCGAAGAGCTAGGTTGGGAGGTAGAGAAGCTGTCAAAGAGAAGAAGAGAGGACACTAGTTAGCCAACGTTCGATCCAAGAGGTTTCACAGGTAGCTTTATAGTATGAGAGAGCTCCCTCGTTCTTCCGTGCCTGTCAAATACCAATGTTAAGTCAACCCCCCGGTCAGTTTGAACGAGGACCAGATCCGGTGGGGGTCCAACAAAAGCATGAGACGGGACGCAAAGACGCAATTCCACATTTGGGCTACGGCAAGTCCCACATGCAGAAACGGGCGCACGTTGGACAGGGTATGCAGATGAGTGGTGTAGTGCAAGTGCGTAGGCTTCGGCGTAGAGTAGATGCAGAACGAGACAAGGGCTGGGCATCCGGCGGAACTAGAGGCAGTGACCGAGGTGACGGTCCCGGGTCTCATCGGCCTGGAAGATGAGGCGGTGGGGGCGGGGGTATGTCATCGGAAAAGATAGGGACGGGGGGTAGCTCCGGGTGGATGCAGCCGTGGTTGAGGTGTTCCGCTTCCCATGTAAGTGGAGGAGAGGTTCAATGACGGGGGGTAGGAAGAGGAGGGTGTTCCGCACTAGGCCGGAGATGACTTGGGCCAGTGAAGGAGGGGAGACGGAGGAGAGTAAGACGCAAGGCAAGGTGGGTTTGGTGTAAGGCGGAAGAAGGTGGATCACAAGTGAAAGGTGCCGGCTTGGGCTGGAGCTGGAGCTGGAGCTAGTAGAGCTTCGAGCTGTAGATGTGCAAGGGTCTCGGACTTGCACACTATGCAGAGCCAGGTAGGGTAGATTGGCAGAAGAATGCCGGGTCGTCTGCAAAGAGCAAAGCCGCAGCGGGGTTGGGGTTGAGGGGGATGGCAGAGAAGAGAGACGGGATTAGCTCAAACGCCCTTGTTGAACGCCTCGCGTCCCCAATGAAAGCTTTCGAGACACATTGAGAGAAGAACGACGTTGGCTCGAACGTTTTGACTTACCAAGGGAAGAGATGTCTTGTTGGATGGGTTGGTTATCGTACAGCTAATGGTTTGACGTTTTGCAGTCGATATAGGGTATCAGAGTGTTAGACAAGCGTCGCAATGGCTCTGCACAAAGACTCAAGTTCGATTCGAGGTCGCGTGCTGGCGTTGGGGAAATGCTGAAGTAGTAAGAGGAGAGGAAGGCGGGGTTGGGTTTATGGCTTGCTTTGGGGTCAGAGAGGAGAGGGTGAAGGTCGAGAGAAAGATGAGTCGGACGAGCAAGCAAATAAGCAAGTTGTAGCAAGAGAGAGGTAGACGGTAAGATAGGTAGTCACAAAGTTTGTGAGGATGCGGTGGCCCGTAAGGTAGAGACGAGTCCAAGTAATTCCTTCTTTGCTCGTGGAAGGATGGTTTCCTTCGGGAGTTGACGGTAGGTTAGGTGGTTCAAGATGTCAGGTGCTTCTCGGGACGATCAACGTTCGGCAGTAGCTGCTCCCAGTTGGGCTAGTAGAGGAAGGCGGATTGGAAGCCGTTGATCGATTCCAGCAATAGCCTTGCTTCTGTGTGTTGTTTGGAGGAGGACCGATGCTTCCCAGTTGATCGAGATGCGTATAGGTAGCTTTAACGTCTCAAAAGGGACGGGTGGACGAGAGCGATGAGTGCAGTACCTTGGTACGGAACAGACAAAAAGTATGGATGGTGTGAGAGATGGGCATCTCGTGCGGAGTCGAGGCTATGGTGTCGATATATTTATGAGAGAGACACATGCCTTGTGCCACTTACCTTGGCTGATCCTGGTGTCCGAGACGGCATGGAGGAGAGAGATACTTGGTGTTGATGACCAGACAAGTACCTCTCTACCCAGTACATGGAAGGCATTGTCGGTATGCCAGTTCACACACACAGGGTCACAGTCGGTCGGTCGGTCAGTCGACCATTGGACTACGAGGTATTAGCCAGCAAAGACAGAGAGACATGCCAGCCCCCCTCCTCAAGCTCCAGCGACGAGAGGTAGACTACAGTACGACTCAAAGCTTCCCACCCTCCCATCCAAGCGGCGTTGTCCCTGGCTTGGGGAGGTAACGAGCCAATGAGGAGTTGGGGATTTCACCAAGAGGCCGTGGTTGCGAAGCCAGGCGCATTGTCTGTCGCGTCTGTCTGGTGCCGTCCGGATGCGGGGTTGAATGGTTTCGGCACACCTCATCCATCAACGTGTCGGAGGCAATGAGGGGGGCGTGGCTGGCCCGTTCTTGTCCAAGTACTATGTAGTCGTACCTAGAGTGCTAGAGAGCTGGATGGATGGATGAATGGATGGATGGATGGGATGGGACAGGTTACAGGGTGGAATGGCTGGATACCTGGGGAATCGCTCGAATCTCGGGAACATCCTTCGACCTGCCTTGGGCTGCAGTAAATTGAAAGCTGGGCAATCTGGATGGAGGTAATCGGGACGACATGCACATCGGTGGGTGTTTGGTGTTGAGGGGAACATTGACATGTCCGACATTAGAAACGTCACCGTGGGCGCCATCAGGAGAGGAAATCTCCTGACAATCTGAGCAGATTGGAGCGGAACGAACCACTGCGACCGCGAGCTGCTCAAGGTAGGCGGCGGCTATGTTTGCGCCGTGGGAGAATGCAACCCCTTGTGCAGTCGAGCCTTCTTGGACCGTATCTGTCTTTCCGCGAGTTGTGACATGCCTTGCCTTGCTTGCTAAGAGTTATACCTATTGGCGGTAGACACCGGGTGAGACGGTGCCTGGCTTCGCCTGGGCTTGGATGACGGCACGACAGTAATGAAACGGGTGTCGATCGTTGGCTGACCTCGGGCTGTTAGACTGGCGGGGGTTTGCCAGCGTGACTGAGGTGAATCGGGGCAGCAGCAGCCATGTTCGAGTAGTTAGGTACTCAGACCGTGACAGAGAAGGCTGGTTGTGCCTTTCGAGATGGCTTGGATTGCTCCGCGTCAATACGGACAAGGGAAACGCCGCGGATGAAGAAGAGATGGATGGCTGATAGATGGCGTGCCAATCATGTAGCGCGTGGTGGCCGAGGCGATTGAATACTCGGGCGGGAGAATGAGAAGCGGTGGAAGAACCAAAGCAGATGGTCTTCAAATTGGATGGATTACCATGCATTTCATTGTCGTCTTCTAATTCCTGTGGTGCAATAGGTTTTGGATGTTGATACCGTTCCCTGTGTTTGGTATCGCATCCGAACAAGAAGCGACCAGCTCCCTTGCTCCTTGGCTGCTCGTTTGGCTTTCCCTTCGTCCTCCCGAGGCCAGACGAGAAAGCCCCGACGATGCCGATGAAGCCGTTGCATTTGGTCGAGGTACTTGATCAAAGTTGGGGTAAAGGTCACTCGCCATCGCAGCGAGCTATGAATTCAAAAAAGAGCATAGGAGAGACTGTAAAAAGACGTCTGGCAGATGGGACGGATTTGCATAGAGCGCTGTTCTCGTCTGGGACTGGCCTGCGAACTGCTCGCTGCCACCTGCTGCAGGAATGCGGGGTAGTGGATATGCACGGACCACGATACGCTCCATGGGCGAAAGACCCAGTTAATCCGCTTATGTAACCTTACACGTGCCCGGTATCGATAAGAGCTTGCTTGTGCTTGGGTCACTTGATGACCTCCAGGCCAGGGCAGCTTCACCACAGGTACCTTACCTACTACGTAGTGTACCTCCCTAACCGGCAAGACCTTGGACAAGCAGTCACGCTCTCATCCCGTGAGGCAATAGCCATGGTTTCCTTTGTATCACCAAATCAGTCTTTCTTGCCTGATACTTCTCCCCCCGGAGTGGAAGCTGGAGAGGAAGCAGAGCATCAAACTTGGGCTCCTTCCCACAGATAGACGCCATGGGGTGACGTAGCTACCTAGTTTCGCTCCCCTGTGCTTGCCAAACAAGCGCACTTGGCGCCGGGATTCGCGTGTGAGGAGACCTGTCCCGACTCCCGCAAATGGTTTTAATTCCAGCTCTCAAGACTGGCTGGGCTCGAATAGCCTCTATGCTGCCCCCGTATCTCATGCACCATACTATCCACTTGGGTCGTCTTATTTCGTCACAGCTTGACAGAGCAACATGATTGGTTTGACACCCTCGCCACTTGCCCTCGACTCACCTTGCCTCACCGAAACGACGTCAAAATGCCATACGCCTCGTTGGATCCGTCCGTTGGGGCCATACCGGCTCCCCTTCAGCCCGCCATGTCTTACCGAGAGGTATCTTGTTGGAATTGGGAACCACTGAGCTCGCTCAAGATATTGGGCTTATTGTCTCTCTGGCAGTCAGCGTACGGACTACCGCTACTAGTGCTAACTCTGATAAGCTCCTTCTACCCCAAAGACCTTATTCCCGTATCATCTCCCACATTTCCATGTTCGAGCTCGAGCTCAAGCAGAAGACATGTGAAGCTGTTGAGCTACCGCAGCCCTGCAGCATCCATCCAATTTGGTCCCCAACGAAGCGGCATCGTCTGCAACGGCGAGCCACCCTCGGCCCTCAACCGCTGGAAGATACGGACGACGCAGCCATACCAACGCCTTGGGCCAGCCATCCCTTGCAATCTGGCAGAACCTCCAAACTCTATCCTGTCCGTCCACGATAATTCGGCTATGGCTAGCCAACAAGTTTGAACGAAATGTGCCGATGCCGCAACGGAAAGTCGCGGTTCAAGACATTAGGGAAGATCCCCCTCCGAACAGACACGAATCAGATTTCATTGATTGAAAGAAAACACCGCACAAGCCTCTCTTTCTTGGCTCATATCGGCGTCTTCAACATTTTCGCCGTAAAAGCGAAGACGCGAGCGAGATAGCTTCACGTTCTCACTTGCGTATCCTTGGCCTTCCTAGGGTCTAATTTGGCAAGCCAACGCTCGTGCGCCACTTTGCTGTTATTCCCGAAAGCTCGGTAACCCGCCACGGCACTGGTGGAAAAACCACGGTCCCTTGCTCTCCTGCTCTCTACTTGCAGTTCCTCTCTGCTGGTTGGTATCAGCAGTTCCACGATCCATCCATTTGCCGGAAATTCGTCCCGAATGAATCCGAGCTCACCATCCCCGGTCCGGAAACGCGAAACGGCATCTGTGTCAATGAGTCAATCTGCTTCTTCCAAAAAGGAACCAAATCAATAACATGGAATATGCACCTCGGCCTTCTATTCCCTGGGGCGGAAATGTCAGGAACCTCAGGTACCGCCCCGTCTTCCCAACCGAGCAAACATTCTAGCGCTCACTTCCATGCGCGGCCCCTCCATCCCGCGGGATGACGCTTGTCCGTCCCAAGAAGAAGTGGAATGGGGATGCACGATATGACCCCATCCACCGGGCGTGGTTCCGATGCTGCTGACCGCTTGCTTGTCTATTCGTACATCGTACACTACACAATCTGTCTCGGACCCTTGGTTTGACAAGATTGAACTTGCATATTTGATGAGCCGCACTACGTATCCGTACACCGATAGCACGAAGCGTCCCAAAAGGGATCTTCCGTATTCCGGCTACTCGACCCTGAGAAGCCGGGATGGCACTTCAGCTCGGTTATCGCAGAGCTCATATTCATGGACTAGCAGAGTCGCAGTATCGTCAACCAGCCCCCTCGCAAATCATCTTCTTGGAAACGTGGGATGACATCCTGGCGAGCCAGATCAGGCATCATCACTAATAACACCCAAGATGGACTTCGTCTTCTCCCTTGTTTGCTGTTCTATCTAGACCAGTCACCGTGGTAATCACAGTCTCTCAATCTCATCCAATCGATTGACCCCACCCCCGTCACAACCCGGCCGCTCCCGCACATTTCATATCCTTAAGCCGAAAACCCTCGCTCATTCTCATCATCTCGGCTTGAGACTCTAAAGCCCGGCCGTGATCCAGGCTTTTGAGAGATGCGGGCTTTTCCAGACCCGGAATGGGCTCCTCCGGAAAGGAGAGTGGAGGGCCTCAAACATGAATAGATCATAGCCTAGCCCGAGCCTCATCATCCAGCGGTTCATGGCTCGGTTATGTTGTGATGCCATCGCTTCTTGCGGCTCGCTTCTTGGTAGGGAGGCAGCCCAGGATGGGTCATGCTGATGTTGAGGTATCCCCCCCCCCTTCTACGGTAACTTGGCTCGGTAAAGTGTCGATTAGACCTTATGACAACATTTGATGGCCAAGGTCGATTTTGCGCCTTCATTACATCATATCCTTGACTCTGCCTACTTGATTGTACTGTTCTGCCGTGAGGAATTTCCGAATTGCTGCACATTAGTGATGTTCCGTATTTGATGAAGGGTTTGGAGTGCCAGGCATTGCATCATCACCCACACCATTCTGTCTCGATAACGGTACAACTGGGTGTCGGTAACGTACCTTCCCTATTGGAAGCCCCGGTCTCACAATGTTTATTATACCAAGGACGGTGCAGAGCAGACCTCAAGGACCCGCCGAGCTATCCCAAGCACTAGGTCAAACTACGTAAATCGGAGATCATAGAACATGGAACCCAATCGAGGAGGTACAGCATGGCGCTGTCGTTCACGATGTCTGGGGGATCACTCAGTCGCCTTGGAAGCTCGCATGTACTGTGTAGATATTGTCCTTGGTCTCCCATAGTGCCACATCGCTCTCTTGGAAACGCAAGTGAGGGCTATCTGGCGAGGTACTACACAATGAATGTAACAACACTAGCGAATTACATACACATCAGACGGGGGAACTCCATTGCAATCGCAGTACGCAGTCTTTGTCTTAGATCTTCACAGATCACCTCCAGGTGACCAAAACTTGGAGAGAGGGCGCCTGGGATGTCATAGTGATCTAGCAGTGGACCCCAGCATTGCAGCTGATGAGCACCTGCAACACCTCATCTCAACTCGAACTCGCTCGTTTCCCCGCCGTAATGGGAACCAGATCTCACCACGCTAGTATGCCTCCATGTGTCGGGGACCTCACTGTGACCTGCCTTCGGCTCTGATGGCGCGTATAGCGCTATTCACCCGTGATTCTGCGACAAGAACAAAGGTCTTGACAACGCCGATGATGTGATACGACAGAAGCAGCTCGCAGAGTGGAGGAGAAAAGACTTCTCTGGCTGATAAGAAGCTACTCAACATCTTCATTGCGCCCGAGAGTGGCCCCACTACTTCACAATCCCGACACAAGCTTGAGGCCCGCAGCCATACCTCAAAACGCAGCTAGAGCGGGAAGGTTCACTGTTGTTGTCAAAAGGCACAGTCACGAACTGTAGCAGACTGCAGCTTCAAGCATCAAGTTGGCACCTACACGTCTGAATGGACCACGTCACGATAGTGGCTTGGGTGGAACAGTGCAATAGGGGCAGGCAGAGGAGGAATAATAGCAGCCGGCAAAGTAGTCACGTCAGCACTGAGCAGAGTATCTGCCATGTAGCTTGGTTGGTACAGGTCCAGATACCAAATGAATGCCTTAGACCTATGGCGATGAAGTGAAATCGTTTCCTATGGACATGTCGATTACATTAGACAATGATATCGAGACAGCATGAAAGGGTGTGCTTACATTATGCGTTTGACTCTTGCCGCAAAGTGTGTCGAGGTTGAATGGAAATTAGTTGAAATCACAGAAACAGAAAGGAATGAATGACTTGCCATGTTGTTCAACCTTGTTTTGACGATTACCATAGCACCTGTCGAAGATTGTTGAGAGTTAGTATAAGCTCATTGGGACAAAGAAGGACCAAAGGCTTACTTACCATGATGACCAAGACTACTCTCCCGAGTCCGGGAAATTGTGTCTAAATGAAGGGATATCAGTTCAAGCAAATTTGGAGTAGAGAAGGGAGGGAAGCTTACCATGATGATGAGTTTGATGGTCGGATCTAAGTTTGCATACTCAAAGTTAGTGGACGGTGACAGCTTAGGGTTGGATGGGGAGACTTACAGATATTGCTGAGACATTCTATGTAGCAAGCATATTGAGATATATAGTAGATAGATAGATAGATGAGATGGAAGTTAGATCATAAGAGCGGGAGTACAATGACCCTCCCGAACGAGGGACCTATCGAAGTTAGCTGACCAAAAGGGGGGGCGAACGAGAGTGGGGGGTGAGAAAAAAGAAAACAAAAACAAGCACAAAACAAGATCAGTAACCAGGACCAGTAACCAAGACCAGTAACCAAGACCAGTAACCAAGACCAGTAACCAAGAAGAAGGAGCCAAAAAGGACCTAGGGCCTAAGACCTAACCCGAGGAACGCGGCGGGTGATCTTGAGGGTGACTACCTTCATACCCTTGGGCTGGGTCGTGATCGTGGACGTGACCAGGTCAAACTCAGGCTCAGGCGTAGGAACGGGCTCGGGAACAGGCGCAGGCACGGGCGAACGAGGACCATAAAGCTCCAGCAAGGAAGAGATCGATCCAGATTCCTCGGCAGAACCAGAAGAACCAGGGGACCCAAAAAAGCTGGAAGTACCGAAAGATCCGGTAGATCCGGGGGACGCACAGTACCCAGAGGAGCCACCAGATCCAGAAGAGCCAGTGGAACCAGATGAACCAGGAGAGCCGGAAGAACCAGATAATCCAGATGATCCAGCAGAACCAGACGAGCCAGCGGAACCAGACGAGCCAACGGAACCAGACGAGCCAACAGAACCAGAGGAAGAAGCGACAGGGGATCCAGAATACACAGGGGAGGCGGCCGGCGAATCCCACTCTGCGAGAGCTCCAGGGAGCTCAGGAGAGGCGACAGGGAAGGCGCCCTTGGTCCAGGAGTATTGCGAAACCCGATCCTCTTCCAAGGTCGAGTCCCAGTTGGAGATGGTGTGCGGCGTAGGCGAGTCTGTGCTGTAGTCGTGAGAGGGCGCGTACCGCCTCTGGGGAGCAGGCCAATCCGACAGGAGAGCCCGGATTTGCGCAAACTTCGCCTTGGCCTCTGCGCTGAGCTCGCGGGCCCGGAGCCGTTGCCGTTCAACGCTGCGGTCCAGGGTATCCATCTCACGAGGAGGAGGAGTACGAGGCGGAGGCGTACAAGGCGGGTCAACCGGATCACGGAACAGCGAGCCAGACTCCTCAACGGGGGCATCCACCGAAGGCGAGGAAGTCATAGACGAAAGCGTCCAGGGCTCCGGAGTCCTTAGAATCCTTTGCTCCGGGGTCCTTGGCTCCGGAGTCTTGGGAGCAGGAACAGCGACGGGGGCAGGTCGACGCTTAGCGGTGTAAGCGCGGGCCAGGTTGATTTGCCGGTCGGCAAAGGCCATCAACTGTTCAAAGTCAGGAGGAGGTCTGATGGGCGAAACCAAAGGACGGGTTGGCGAAGCCAGAGCAGGGTCAGCGGCGTCGTCCACAAACGGATCCTCCAGGTTGGAAACGGAAACCGAACCAGATCCTGGAGAACCAGATGAAGCAGAGCGAACCGAAGACGAAGGACTGGCCCGGGGAACCGACTCAAAGTAATGGGACATACTGAGAGTGAAGGCACGCGGAGACAAACGGGGAGGAGTGCAAACAGGACCAACAGGCTCCGTAACCACAGTTCCAAGCGAAGGCGAGGAACCTTCCAAAGGCAGAGGACCAACCCGGGACTCAGGACCTAAGTAATGGGACATACTCAGGGTGAAGCCATGCGGGGACCGACCGGGAGGAGTGCAAACAGGTCCAACAGGAGCCGTAAACGCAGAACCAACCGATGGCGAAGGAGACCTGACCAAAGGAGAACCGACCGAAGAAGGACTGATCCGGGATTCCGGCCCTAAGTAATGGGACATACTCAGGGTCCATCCATGCGGAGGCCCACGGGGAGGAGGAGTGGTTACGTGCACAACAGGCTCCGTAAACAGAGAACAAAAGCCCCCAGAAGAGGACTTACCAAGAGAGGACGACACCGTGATCGAGGGCCGGGTAGCTCCAGTCTGGGGTTGACGAGAAGACGAGCTACGGGCAAGCATCGCGGGGGGTGTCGGGGTACCGATGTACCGGCTAGAGAAGACTGATTAGCTACCAAGAAGACAAAAGACCCAGAGAGGCTGAAGATGTGAATAGTTACAGGATCGGGCGGACAGCGCTTGTGACGGCGGCTGCGAGAAGACGAGGGACGCGGCGGAGGAAGGAACCGAGCGAGGCCACGAAGGTGCTGGCGTTAACGGGGGCAGGGACTTGAACCCTGGACTGCGGACCGGTCTCAGACGGGCGGGCGGCAGCCGAAGCAGGCGAGAAGCAGAAAGAAGTCATCGTAGCAAAGCTAGAGCATCAAACGATCAAACCGTGAAGAGGAAAGGAAGAAGGAGGTTTGGGGGCGGTTCGAGGAGGAGAGGTAGAAGTAGACGGACAGTGCACCCAGATCAGTAACACCTGATTGGCCAGAATGGCTCACCCCCTGAGGGGGTGGTTGCAAAAACGACTGGTAGGGCTGAGAATCAGGCCTAATATGGTGTAGCGTCTGTACCCAGGTACCCGCTAGGCCCAATTGGGACAGCGCGTCTGGACTGTCAGATGGAAGAAAAATGGTATAATAGATGGGATGACGGAGGCGCAATCCAATATGAAGAAATTAAAACCATACAATTGTCTTTATTATGTCTATTCAAACCTATGTGCAAGTTTTACCGATGAAAAACGGTCTGTTGTGGCGAGAGATACCGCGTCGAGGGTGGAATTGGCGGTTGTAGTCGAGAGGACATCGAGAGCCGGCTGAGAATCGTCGATTTCTGGCTCGTGGCATCGAATGGTCGCCGCGCAGATGAGATATTGTCGTTGAAATAGGTTTAAAAGATGGACTAGATCGATTGGGATATTTTGATGGCTGATTGTGCCCGCGCATTGCCGTGCGGTTGAGGTAGCCGAAGGAATAGGTCGGATTCGGCCACGGGATGCCATCCTTCGTCGAAAGAAACCATCGCGGCGTGTCGCAGCGTGCATCGAGGTGTATGCAAAATTGGTTACAAAGTACTCTCAAGGCTTCCAGCTTCCTTTTGGTGTAATTTGAGCTCATTCCCTTGCGCCGCGGCATCGTGGTTGCTCATCGTAGCGGCGATGCCTTCCCCGGAATTAGGATTGAGCCTGCCGCCTACCTCGTCCAGGAACAGCGCGTAGCTCCTCTGGCTTCAAGCTCTGTAAAGTTGGTCCTCGATTCTCTCTGTCAACAAAGACTCGTCACCTAGAATCAGCGAACCATAGTTTGCGGCACAAGATTGATGATCATCGGCAGAACCACCGCTAGACAGTAACAAGGACCACAATCAAAGGGACGATCATCACTAAGAGGATTTGCTGTTCTATTGATACTGCTGTCTAACAAAGTTGAAAGAAGCGTCTTCCAAACCAGCTCTGCTACCGATGAGCCCTCAGCGTTGTTTCGACCCCCTCACCGAAGAGGCGAACCCTTTCCTGGTGTCCAAGTTGAGCCCGCCCCGAAGCCGCCACTTGACGTTCCACCTCCCGGAGCCCCCGGCGTAGAGGGTGCCTCGTTGGGTAAGGGGGGAGGCGTGTCTGTTCTCTGGACATCAGCGGCCTGTCCGCTCCTAGCAGGCGGCCGGAAGTTGACGTCTCGCCCGCCTCGATAGATATCTTGAAGCATCGGTTCCAGGATACCTGCATCTTCGAACTCCAAATACTTTCGGTAGAGCTTCAAAGCTGTCCGAGCATCCTCGATCGAGTCGTGAGTCTCCAGCTGGATATCTTCCTTCAGCAAGTACCAAGCCAAGAAAGCCAGCGAGAGCTTCCGAAGACGAGACTTCAAGAAGAACAGATCGATCGTGTCGATGACCTGGGACTTCGGTATGTGTATGTTGATTACTCTGAAATCCTGTTTGAGGCCATGACCGAGGAACTTGCAGCCTAGGTTTAGCAGGATCCAAAGCTTCTTGTAGGCAACCTTCAGCGGCACAAGATTGTGCTTGGATATGCGGGGATCCAGATCATCGTGAGTAATACCCGAGTACGATGTCAGATAATCAACAATGGGTTCTCTAATCGAGATGTAGTCGTCGATGAACGGCAGACCTTCGTCCTCTCCTTGTCCCCGGACGACGGAAGCTCTGGCTAGGGCGTACACGATCGGCCGAATTGTCTCTCTTTCGCCGTCGGAGTTCATCTCGATTTCGGGCTGACGGACGGCGACGAACTCCGTGTCTAAAGCGACGATGCTCTCTGGCCCGGGTCTTTCACTCGCCGAATCGAGCGCTCGGTACGTCTTTCCGTCGTTATGAGGGCTTAATGGGTCAGCAGGCTACCTATGACGGCACATTCAGGGAGGGAACCAACTTGTTATCTTCGTAAAGGAGGGAAGTATCAATATTCTTCTTCCAGTCCATATCGATCTTGTTATTTGCCTCCTTGATCTGGAAAGCAATTACCGAGGGTGTCTTCCACGGCGGATGGAACGAAAGGGCTTCCTCGGTGCTCACAGACCGAACTAGGAAGTCATTGAACAAATGCCATTGACTTGTAGCCGGGGCGGTTGGCTGAGAATGGGCAACTTGGACTTGTCAGCATCGCCACTTCACAAGCAACGAGGATAACGTACCGTTGGCCATTGCGACCAGATGAGGCTTTTGACCCGGACCTGGGTCAATATTCATAGCCATGCCCACTAGCGAATACACCGTTATGTTGTGAATACCGCGCTGTAGGTGGAGTTTTAGATCCTCTCCCTCATAACAGAAGAACTGGCCGTGGTCTACTATGACGCCAATTTCTTCCGGAAGGAATCCGGGTGTCGACCAATAACGCCTTTGCTCCGAGTTCCCGATTGCTGTGTTCAGCATGAAGACGGCGGGGATATTGTGGATGGTCTTGCGAGTTGCGATAGTCTGGTATCGCTGGCACCGACCACACCAACCCTTCGACGTTGTTTCTCTCTCGACACTTGACTTCAGGATTTGTGAAAACGTCACTTTCGGCGCTTTCTGACCCCGGCTAACGTTCTTCTGCGAGCAATTAGCGCTTGAACAGGAAGGGAGGACCTCGGCCGCAAATCATGAAGCGAAGCAGTCGGCGAAGCTGGCCATATGCGAGTTACAGCATCCGAAGACGACAGCCAACACATTTGAGAACACGGACGAAGATCACAGTGGTTTGTACTTACCCCTGTCCCAGTTGTTTGCGGATACATCAGATCGTTGACAAAATTTGATCCAGGACGAGTGTATTCGAACCTGCAGTTGATACACCGAATCGAACTCGTTGCAGAAGTTGTGAGCATCTAGAGACGGTCAGCTACTGCAACATTTTCCAACTTGCATTTGACGAACCTGCTCCATCATGTTCGAGCCAGGCGGCATGGAACGATAATCCAGGACAATCTTCTCCAAAAGGAACCTCGTCAGTCCCTGCAGCATCACCGTTAAGGTAGAGCCATTCGATTCTTCTTCAAGGAGGCCAAGATTGGCGGCTACGATACAGTCAATATTCGCCGCAGACACAGAGAGAATTAAATCACAGACATTGAGGGTGGTGGCTAAGTGTCTTCAGCATGTTGGTTGCTTGACAGATTGAACCTTCGGCCTTTTGGAGCATGTCGAACAAGAAACCCAGTTCGCATAACAGACAAGTATCGGTAACACACGCAGTGGCCGCGTGTTGTAGAGCCATGTTTCGAATTAGAGGCGTAAAGTTCATGACTTGCAGCAAAGAGTTGGCGTATGAGTTTGCGATATGGATCTCGAGTCCAGAGTACTGCGTTCTGTTGTAGAATCTAGGCAAGGTTAGCAAGCCAAACCATTTCAGTGCGATAAGCTGACATACCCAAAGTCAAAGTCGTCAACACCAAACTTGCTGTACTTGATCTCAACATTACGGTACATCGGATGACATTCTTGTTTGGTAGGGTCGATTTCCATTTGCATCAGAGAATGGGCAGCGTCGTCAACCTTTTCGTCGCCGCTAGCATTGCCGACTGTAGCCATAGCAAACTCTCTAGCTTTCTCGCTGAGAAACTTTGGCGCAAGGATTCCCGAAGCGTTTCCTCTGTCCAAGTTCCGAGTATCTTCAACTTGGTTCCTTCGAAGGCCCCGTGTATTCCGTCCATAGTGGCCAAATTCGGACTGTTTGAGGCCCGCAACAAACTGTGGCTCAAGTTTGGTCGGAGGAGCCCCAACATCAGAAAGAAGATCTGGCCAGGCGGACAGCAGCGCCTCCCGGTAATGCGGCATGCCAATAGAGTTGAGAGGTCTGGTGCTAGGTCAGTGATCGTGGCACATGTCACAGAATCAGCAAAGAGAGGCGTTACTAACGTATCGGCAGTCCACTCTGTGGTAGGTAGAGGCTCTTCCGGAGTTGCGAACTCAGTTTGAGAGGCAAAATCGACGAAGCGGAGTTTCGAAGGGGAGCCCCAGATGTGAATGTTATGATCCGCATCTACCAGAGCCACGGCTTCGCCAGATGGGGCGATTTCGAACATGGTCAGGTAGTTCATCGTATTGGTTTGCCGCACATTGCTAGTGTTTGGGTTCATCAGGTCAACAACGTGCATCTGGCCACTTGTGGACATGACAATGCTGGTCGTCGACATTCTTGGGTGCATTCTGACAAAGGCGGCCCCAGCAGGAAACGGAATAGGCGACATGGACGACATTTTCTTGATATCAAACACATTCAAGAACGGGTCGAGCATGTAATCTCGTCCCTGCCGCAGTGAATAGCCGCAAGTGACGATGAAGTCATGCTGAGCATCCATATCGCTGATCAAGGCGGAGTGGGCGTTCCAGCTCTTAACGACGGAGAAGTTGACCGCGTCGATCAGGTTGACTGTGCCGGTCTCTGTGGCGGCGCATATGTATCTGCTTTTCTTCATAACCTTATATGAATACGCGGTTGGAACCTGGGTTCATCAGCAAGGCGTCCTCATTATCATACCGCCATCGAACGGACCTGCTTGACCACCTCTCCCTTAGCGAGGTCGATCACAAACATGGTGTCCTGGAATCCAGCAACCAGGATTTCGGACGTCCCTTTGGACGTAAAGCTCATGCATCGTAAGTCTTTCATATCATCGTGTCTGCGTTTGTACTGTTAGGCAGAATTCTAATGGGTCAGGTTCATGCTCCCGCACCTTATATGCCATATCGGAGGGCCTTTCCGCGAAGCCATGTGGATGTCTCGAGATCCAAGTACCACAACGCCCTTGTCATTGACGAGTATTTGTCTAACCGGGCCGTCGGATGAGGTATGGGCCTTGAAGGACGTATAGCGCTGAAGCTCGCTGCGGTAGAACGATGTGACGCGGCCCTAGAACATGATCAGTCTTTGTCGTCGGTGAAAATCAAATCCTATGGCTCGTACGTAGTCGTTCCCTGTCCACAGCAGCTCTTGAGCCGTGTCAAAGGTCATGGTCGACACGGGCGTCGCCGCGGCGTGGATGCCCGGAGGCGGAAAGGGGATGCGAGCGACCTATCAGCCATGAAATCGATTAGTTCAGGGTATGGCTACCAGAGGAGACGCGCGATATTCGCAAGCTAAGCTAGGAACAAGACGAGAAGAGATGCGAGGCTTACGACGAAGGTGCGTCGCAACAGGCATTGAGGGGTGACGATGAGCTTCAACGTACCTCGTCCCAGTCTCCGTCCATTTTGGTCTGCGTTTCCTTGCCCAAATCACCATAGTAATGGGAACAGAAGAAACGACGTCAAAGGATGGGCGACAGACAGGTCGCAGTCGAAAGGTCCAGGACAACCAATATTGGGCACAAAAAAGAGCAGAGCACCTCACTAAACTCAGATCGCGACGACGCCGGAGCTTCGCGCAGCTTGAGCCTTGGGGGCAAGCGGGCAGAGACAAGGTGTCGCGCGCCCGAAAGCTAAGCCACTTGCATGAGCCGGACAGGGCAGGGAAGAGAATGTGGGGGAGGGATGCTGAGCTTCTTTTCCGACGTCTCTGCGCTTTCTCCTCCCCTCCTCTCCTCCTTAGCTTCTGGGCTTTGGAGTGTGACGACGCTAGCCGGCGTATTTCCGGAACTGGGTCGAGGTGAGACAAGCCCCACTAAACTTCTCACCGAAAATCATCGAACCATGGGTACTTGTTGTCAGGGTTGAGCTTGGTAACGTATTTCGTACTACTAATGATCTACCTTTCTATGGCTTATGTACCTTCTCATCTTTGTTAACTACTAACAAAATAGCGGTTCAAAGCTGTGCCTGATGGTAAGTATTAAGTTGAAACTTGCAGCAGCGCTCTAATAGCAGCACCGACAAGCAGCGCCTCTCAACGGGTCTCGAAACACCATGGCCAGCGTGTGGATACCATAGAACGTCTAAGCGTGCCATGTGGTAGGGAAGTTTCCAAGTCTACCTCCGTCCACGGTTATCACCGCGCCATTACAATACGCACCAGCTCTCGAAGCAAGGTACAACATGACGCCTGCCATGTCTTGCAAATCGCCCATTCTTTGAAGAGGCACCATCTCCTTGGGGACACTGCCGTCCTCGGCGTAAAGCTTGGCAATTGGGGCCGACATTTCGCTCGGGAACACTTGTTGAGGGTCAGTATGGATCTGAATATTTACTGTTGCAAGAAAACTCACATCCAGGAGCAATACAGTTGGCTCTGATGTTCCAACGGGGCAGGTTACTTGACAGTTGCTTGATGACCAACGTCGCGGCCGCCTTGGATTGGCCATACGCCCAGCCACCGGGAGCGATCTTATTAAAGGCGGCAATGGAGCTCGTCGAGACGACCTGGGAGCTTTGTGATAGGTTCCCCTTCTTGTTACCAAGGTCAAGCAGCTTCACGAAAGCCATCGCGGTGTACCACACAGAGGTGACGTTGATGTCAAAGACTCGTGTGTAATCGGCCATGTCATGGGCAAGATGCTGCTCGGCCCATTCCTCAGCTGTCGTCTCGGGGGTGGGGGCTTTGACCTGTGGTCCGCCGACACCAGCATTGCAGACGAGTAGATTGACAAAGCCGGCTTCCTTCTCGATGGCTGCGGTTGCCTCTTTGAGGCTGTTCTTGTCACTAACATCGCAAACCAGGGGAATGATGCTGGGTCCCACAGATGCCGCAGCTTCTTCCAGGACCTCTTTGCGCCGACCGAGGATGTAGGCTTTCTCGGCGCCATTGGCAGCCAAGGCTTTGGCCATCATGAGGCCGATTCCTAAGTGATTTAGCACTTTCACGGTAGATATGAAGCTATCGCCTGAGTGACTCACCTGAGCCACCACCAGTGATTACGGCAACCATGCCCTTGACACCAAAGAGGCTACCAGCTCCGAGAGCAGCGAGGTCTTCCTTGTTATCAGCCATTTTCTAAATCACAAAGTGCAGAGATTTGAAATGTAGTTCTAGCTTTGAATGACTTCGTGGAAATGACTACTTATACAATCTGTCAAATAAGACTCATTTGTAATAGCACAGGTCCACGGGCTATCTGCGACGGCGGGGTGCTTCGAGTGCCCCTCCAAGATCCAAGGGAACGTCATCCATGAGCGCTGGAGGAGCAGCTGTGGCCAATGAAAACCATCAAAAACAGCAGCTATCGGTTATGACCAATCGCATTGTACAGAATGCGGCCCCGTAGCGGGTCCTTGTCTCGGCCAGCGTTCCGCCTTATCGATTAGATCTTCACTGCTGAACCACATTTTTTTTTCTGTTGCGATCCAGCTTCGAGGTTTGACGGTTGCCCGCGCATACCTTAATATTTTTACACCAGCGACAGGGAATACGCACGATCCGGAACTCGAACAAAACCACAAACATGGTCAAGCGAAAGAGGTCGCGCGAGGACGATCTTGAGGCGAAGCTCGCCGACTACAAAAAGGAGATTTTCAGGGCCATCAAAGGCGCAAAGGGCCTCGAGCGTCAACGGTACAGCAAACGCTTGCGCGATGACAAGGCGTCGCCAGACAAGGCCAAGCGGTTGGAGAGGGAGATTTTAGTGTTAAAGGTAAGGGTTTACCCCCTCCCCATTTCTAAGTTTGCGCCGCTGACAATTGCTTCCACCTACAGTCCCTCGACCTCCAGCAAACCGCCGACGCACACCTCCACTCCTCGCTACTCAAGATCAAGCAGATCGCCGAAAGCCCCGCTCTCCCCGAAGAGATTAAGCAGGGCGTGCCAAAACCGGATTTGTCTGAGGAGGAGAAGGCGGCGCTGCATAACGTCACGAGCGGCTTGTTCAACCGCCCGCATGTCCGGGAGGCCGTTGACAAGGCGGTGCGGGGCGTTTGCCTAATCCTCAACGTACCTATACCAGACAAGAAGAGCAAAAAGGGGAAGAAGGATTCTGCTGCCGCCGCTGAGAACAAGAAGCAATCAAAGGATGAGGTCGACGATGAACCTAGGGAATCGAAGAAGGCGAAGTTGGTGGATGCAAAGGATGTATCCGCGAAACCCAAGGCCGAATCTAAACCGAAAGAGACGGTGGTAGAGGCAGAGGAGGAACCGAACCCATTTGACGAGATGGACGACGAGATCCCAACGGAAAGCGATGCCTCGGACGGCGGAAAGAACGCAGACGTCGCCGACGACGAGGAGATCGATTCAGACGAAGAAGAAGAGGAAAAGGCCCTGTCCAAGATGGAAGCCATGCTCGGCGGCTCCGACTCGGAAGAAGACAGCCCCGACGAGGATCTCAAGGCCAGGTACAAGGCTTTACTAAGTGAAGTCGCCGACGAAGGGGACACGGCCGACGACGAGAGCAACAGCGACGACGAAGACGAGGACGAGGACGAAGAGATGGCGGACCCGGACTCTGACGCAGAAGACAGCGGCAACGACTCGGACCGCCAACGCCGCATCAACGCCGCCAACGTCTCCCTCTCCCCGGAACCGGAACCGAGCAGCAGCAGCAGCAAAGAGAAGAAAGTCAAGCGCGCCAAAAAGCCCACAGGCCGGCCCGGCGAGACGACGTTCCTACCCTCGCTCATGGGCGGGTACATTTCAAACTCCGAGTCCGAGGCCTCGGACCTCGACCTCGCGCCGCCCAAGAAGCGGCTCGGCCAGAAACAGCGCCAGGCCATCTGGGAGAAGAAGTACGGCGCGTCGGCGAACCACGTCAAGAAGCAGGCCAACGGGCAGAGAGGGGCGGGCGGCGCGAGGGATAGCGGGTGGGATATGAGGAAGGGTGCCGTGGGTGCCGACGAGGACGGCGGAGCGAGGAAGCCTTGGAAGAAGGGCGTTTCGAACCCGTTGGGCGGCGGCGGCGGCGGCGGCGGCAAGGGTAGGGATCGCGGGGGTAGAGGTGAGGAGAAGAAGAAGGCGAGGGCGCCGCCCAAGAAAGACGATGAGGGGATTTTGCATCCCAGTTGGGAGGCGAGGAAGAAGGCCAAGGAGGCGCAGACTACGGCTGCGTTCACGGGTACAAAGATTACTTTCTAGGTCACGATGTAAAGCGAAATACCAGTGGAAATTTCCCAGTCAACTTTTGAAAGAAATCATTCGCTGTCTGCCTATGTGGCTACTTACTGGTATGCAAGCGAGATAGCCATCTCCTGTACCCCTTGATTCGACCAAAAGCAAAACGCATATAAGCCCCTAAATTCATCGGGCTCAGCACCGCAAGTACTCCAAATCGCTTGAAATCTGTAAAACGTCGTAAGCTATTGATCAACCGCGAAAACCGCAATAAGTCAATTAGTGAGATTGAGGACCCATCCTGGCGAGTCAATGTCTTTGTCTTTTGTTGAAAGGACAGTCGTCTACGCTCCCGACGCTTTGAAGACGCGAAAGCCTAGGGTAAGCAGTCTCCTGCTGTATGACGGGGGGATTGTATCCATAAATTCCTTCATTACCGCTACGGCGCGAGGAGGTGGCCATAGAAGAGCTTGGGAAACCCGTGGTGTAGAAGCTGGCATCGTCATACTCTGTCGTCAGATCGATGGCGCCTCGCATTGCCAACTCGTCGTATCCTCTCTTGCGCGAGGTATCCGTCAGCACGGTAGATTCACGGCGTTGTCGATAGTGTGACATTGACGGCGACGAGCCGCCCACGAAGAGGCCGTTTTCGCTGCCATAGGATCTTTCGCTCCCGGCTGCAGACACATGGCCAATTGACATTACGTCGGAATGCTCGCGCTTGAGGCGGTTCAAATCATCTTCTTGTTGAAGGCGCCATAGGCGCATTTTCATCTTTGGTGGCTCTGTGCTGTCCAAGTCGATCGGGTTGCTGGCATTTGACCCTGCCAGTGATAATTCGCGGTCATAGACGTTCGCGACGCTTTCTTCCGTAAGCGTTGAAGTAGTCAACTCAGTATCCGCTCGAACGCGGCGGGTGGGTGCTTTCGGGGTTGCTTCGCCAGAAGCCTCAGATTCGGTTCCGTCTAGGTCCCTATCGGGCGTTGTACTCCTAGCTCGGGCGACCTTCTTTCCCTTCCCAGGACGTGGACCCTTTGATTGATTGGTAGAGCTTGACCGTCCCAATGTATCTCTCCCAATTGGTTGTCCTGTTCCTTCGTTGGCTTGTGATCCGCCTGGAGATGCCACCGTAGCACGCTGCTGGACCCGGTCCTGGCTTTCAGCGTCTGCCATCTCGATATCACCCTCTCCATCCCTTTCCACAACTGGCGGCGACACATACACTGCGTCAAAGGCTTGACTCTTGTGATAGAGGCCCTTGATCGCCTCAACATCCTCTTGAGAAGCCTCGTACCGTGGAAGAACCGGAATCAAATTGGCTAACTTTGCGGCTTCTGCCTTATCGTCAGTCTTTGGCATAGCTGTCACATTCTCAATATCCATGAAGAATGACCAATCACGAATTAGATGCCGGCCACCTTCCTGCCGGGATATGTTGTAGTCGTAGAACTGGATGAGCTCCATTCCACGAAGTGCGTGAAGGAAATGCAGTCCCTGGAGATTTCGCAGGGATCTCGTCATGCGGAAATTGGGCTGGCCAGCCGTGACAGACGCCATCCAGTCGGCGTAGGCCTTGGGTTCGTGGCGGCGACGCGTGTACTGCGGGCCACTCTCGTCGATATGTATGATGAGAGTTCTTAGACGAGGCAGCTGGCAGAGCCAAGAAACGTCCCATGTCCTTTTGGATACATATTTGAGTGCTCCCTTTCTGCCTTCCTTGACAGGCTTGTGAGTGAGATACTGGCTGCCAACCCATAGCAATTCGATATGCTGGATTCTTTCTCTTCTTGCTTCTCCGATGCCAGTGCAGAAGCGGCCAAATTCTCCAAGGCTCGAGAAGGCGAAGGTGTTCAGACCGTAGAAAGCGTGGATCCCAAAGTAGTACCAACGCTTGCAGACTGTGAGCAGAGCGAGGCGAGTGTTCGGTTTCATACCGTAGGTGATATTGCAAGATGTTCCGGAAAGGTGGAAGCGACGAGGGAGACCACTTCTGTTCGCGTTTGTTTGCGTGGGTTGCTCTGGAGGCATGAATCTATCGAGACGAGTGATGCAGTGAATAAGCTTGCTCTCTTCAACGAAGACGAATTTGATGATGTTGGCCTGTACTTTAGCAGGCAGCCGATGAAAAGGAAAGCCCTTAAGATAAGGGTCCGCCCGTGGTTGCTGGCCCTCTGAGCTTTGAATATCCTCGGGGTGCTCATCGTCCTGCACGAAGAGTCCCTCAGGACCATGACGACTCTCCTCAGACTCCCCGTCCTGACTGACTGAATCGGTGTCGAGACCTTCGAGCGCATCAGCTTGAAGTTCGTTGTTCGTAGGACCCCTCAGTCGCAAGTTGGGATGAACATTGCCAGTCTTCGTGCTCATATTCTCCTCCTTGCAGCACAGCTTGTAAATGTCAGTATAAGTCAGTGCTTTTCGGTGGGCGGGGTTCGTAAGGTATAGGTCCAGCTTCTTGTGCCATGTCGGCTCGTGTCTGTTCTGGCTGTTTCGCTTTTTCTCCAACCTGGCTATATTCGCTCTCAAAGTGTGATTGTCTAGACTGAGTTCATGGATCTTGCTCTCGAGTCTTTTGATCTGTTCATCGTAGATGCCGATGCCCTTCTGGAACTCCGATCGGCACGCGTCGCTGCAGCCAAGACTACTGAGATTGATGGGCAGTGGCAAAGATAGCTCCTCATCGTTGTCACCAAGAGGGCCAGGCTCATCGTCGAGATCTTCATCATCCTCTTCCTCTTCTTCGTCGTCGCCGATTTCCTCAGCGTTCTCGTCTTCACCCTGTATGGTATCAACTCGCTTATCAGACCCTATGGTCTCTTCCCGATCAAGCTCCACTTCATCTTCGGAAGTTGCTTCGTCGTCCTCGGACTCGACTTCGTCGTCATCTGGGTCATAGTGATGCAGTGGCCCATCGGCCTCGTTGGAACTCAAGATAACAAGTCCATTTCGATCAAGCTCTTCTTCTTGGCTCAGTACTCGCAGGATGTAGGAGCTGGTGCCTGTGTGAGCTGCAGGGCTGCTGTGTCTCTCGGCGACAGCGGCTTGAGAAGGGGATCCCGTCTGAGATGAGACATGCAGGTCCTGAAAAGACGACTCGACTTCGGAGATCCTTGGAGAAGAGCTGTCGATATTGTAATTGTTGGAAGCCAGAGGAGGTGAAGAAGCAGGAGGGGAGGGTGTGAGAAGGCACCCAGGTGTAGCACTTGGCCGGACTGTCGAGATGGCTCGTGACATGGATCGCGAGTGATCTTCCATCGTGACTGTCAGCGGTCTATCCAAAGTGAAATATTCTCAAGTTGAGGCTGCCCTGGGAGTATTGTCAATTATGCGTGCTGAGCGATAAACCCATGGGGCAAGTACGAGCTGAAGTCAGCTATACGGAGAGCAATAAATACTGTGAGATGTGAGAAGTAGAACTGTGAAGGTCGTGATAAGTGAGAAGCAAAGCCGTCAAGGCGTAGAAAGCAGTTGAAGTAATCCTCATAAAAAAAAAGGCAGGAGTGATGTGCCTAGCCACGGAAGGTACCACAGTCTGCGGAAAGAAGGGTGTAATCTGACCGAGGCTGTATGAGACTGCTCCTTGAGTGATCGTAAGTCGTGTGCAAAGTATGCAGCCAAAAATTGATTGATCAAAGAGTGAGCGTAGATTTGAAGCGGCCTAGCGGTTGAGGTATCATGTAATGGAATGACCGGGCTTGATATATTGGAAGTTAGAAGCAATGTCCCAGGTCCGAAACAGAAAGACTATTGAAGATGTGTGGCTGAGAAGATGCGTCTGGGTAGACGAGTCTAAGGTCGTATGGTTGTGTAGAAGGTAGAGAAGAGACGAGCTCATGCGTACGCGGCAAACCGTACAAATAGCAGTAATACGGAGAAGGAAGGAAGCCTCTCAAGTCGTAGCTTCTTGAACCGGAAGAGGAAAGTACGGGTTGGTTGGATGTATCCTGGAAATGGACTGTATATGGGGTCAGACTGTGAGAAAACAGGGTGAACTCAAGGCCGAATTCGGTCTTCAACAATGCAAAGCTCGCGGGGCGATAGCGGTGCCACTCAAGGTATCTGATCAAGCAAGTTAGATGTCACTATGGCGAGCAACATGCCATGCCGCTAGACGGAGCCGCAGAAAGAAAATGTGAAGCCCAAAGGATTTGAAAATGATTTGCATTGCTGAGCGCCAGAATCCAAAAAGCCCCGGTGTTGGTATCTGCCTGTACAAGATGTACATTCCTCCGGTTGTCTCTCTCTTTCTCTAAATTTCTTTAATCTGTTCCATTCTAGGTGCGGATTTAAGCGTTGGTCTTGAGGGTGCGGAAGAAATCCATGACGCCAGTGAAGACGACGAGGAGGATACCGCCTCCGGGACCGAGACGGAGGACCTTGGGCAGGAAACCCTTGTACAGAGCGCTGAAACCCTCCTCCTTAGCGACTGTGGCAACGGCGGGCCAGGCCCAGTTGTACTTGGGGGTCTGTCCGGGGACCTTGGGGCTGTTCTGAATGCGGGACTTGACGACGTCCATGGGGGTGTTGAGGATAGTACCGACGGTACCACCAATGGCACCGGAGATCAGGTCGTTGGTGACCTGGCCGGCCTTGTTCTCGGCCTTGGGGAGAAGCTCGCGGACCTGGAAAATGCAGCCAAAGTAACCGGCGTTCCAGACAATGTGGCGCCACATGGTGCTCTCGAGGCCATTGTACATGGCCAGGACACCCTCGGCGGCGACGGTCTTGCGGATAACGTCGAGCATGCCACTGTACTTGCCGGCAGAGGCCTTGTCCTGTAGTCTAATCTTGACGAGCTCGAAGGGGACGACGACGAAGGCCTCGGTGGCACCGGCGCTGGCTCCGGTCAAGATGGAGAGAGACTGGTTCATCTTGGCAGCGCCGAACAGGTTGCGGTAGATCTTTCCCCACTCGTCGTTGGCGGCGAACTTGGTAGCACGCTTGGGAGCCTCCATGAGGATGGGGGCGGTGATACCGCGGTAGAGTGTCGCAAAGCTGCGGTTCGTAAGCTTGGTGAATACATT